TGGACATCTGCATAAGGGAAAACCCTGCTTATAATTATCCGAGGGTAGAGGCCAATTTTATTTTACATTTAAATCCTTTTGCAGCCTCAAAATGTGCAATGAAAATTTTCAGGAACATGTAAAGTGAGGGAGAGTCATATTCTACTTTGTTCAAAGCTTTAAACAGAGTCATTCGCTATTTGGGAAAAGTCACATTACCAGCCCAGTTCACAGCGTTCGAGTCCCTGGTACAACACGCACTCTGCTGATGGGTGCGTGTATGGCATGGATGTAACGAGAACTTTGTTATAGTGTCACTAGGGCATTGTATTTTATTTTTCAAACTAGGTGAGTAGGTAGGAGATGTCATAAGGAATTTCATCTCGTACAAAACATTTGTAACAAAAGGGAGCTTGGATCCACTGGAATTGAGACTTATCCTTGAATTTCAAAGGATCACTCTGAGAGTCTGAGGTACCTACTTACAAGTCCCTGCCGAGAAGCCATACTTCAAGTAAACCCTTTTAGGAGGCACCTGGGGGCCGCTTACCCTGGTCTCCAGCAGCTGAAGTTCCCGAAGGCACCAGCAGGAGGGGCATGCTGAGGCTCGAGGGGTGTGACCAGAAAGGTGTGGTGTGTCTTAGCTGGGGCAGGATGAGGCATTACCTGGAGGGGCGTGGCAAGGCCAGGAGGTGGCGGGGCCTGGTATGGATAGGACCTAGGCTGGGCTTGACTTGTCTGGGGTATGGTCTGTCTGGCAGGTGAAGCCTTCCCTGCAGTCCCAGCCCAGGGCCCTAGAGTTGTAGTTGACCACCTGGGGCTTAGGGGAAGAGGAGTCCCTATCCCAGGTTCCAATCCAGATTCACAGCATTTCCAACAATACTAGATGAGAACGTTAGTCCTTTAAGTGGAGGGCGTCTCTACCTATGCATCTTTTGAAGGTGAGGCAACCAAAATTTGCAATCTAATAATCCCATAAATGGATAATTTTCTGCATTGTGCTCATTTGTGTGCTCCAGGAATGAAAAATCTCCCCTTAAAGCCACCTTCTTTCAAAGGAGGAACCTGAGTAGCCCCCACCTCCAGCAGGATGGCCGAGTGCCCAGAGATGCATACTGCACTTGTCACCTCTTCCCTGTTCTCAGTGTCCTACAGTGAAGTGGGGAGGGATAAATGACGGGAACTTTTTCAGTGTTTGTGAGGATTCAAAGGCAATAGATGCAAAACACCTTAGCATTCTACGTGGCCCATAATAGGCAACAGATGGCAGTTATTGCTGATGTGTTCACAGACACAAGGATTAAGGACCACCCCATATGTTGGGCAATTAAAATATTAAGCATTTTGTGCAAATCGAGGGCATGCACTGTAGACTCTCCTGCATTCTTGGCAGAGTGGTGAGCATAACTTAACCTTCCTGCTTCCATCAGGGCGAACATTTGCTTCTAAGGTGGGCGCCTGACTTGGAGCTAGATGGACATGCACCTTGGGAGGGCCTGGGGCTCTCTTCTCAGAGGTGCTTTTGGGGTTATTCTTTTGGACATTCCTTCTTAGGAGCATAGATCAAGGAATGAGTGGTTGCCCAGTGCCGGGGGTAGGTTTTCCTGGACAATATCACCTGGCCTCTTTTGCAAAATTACCTTTTGAATTTTCAGCTGAAGCAGCTGTCATTCCTCTACTTCCTCCAAAACATTTCCCGGTGGCTCTGAAATACCTTTGCATTTACTGAGCCTTGGAGGTGGGAAGGACCTTAGCTAGAGTTACAAGGTGGGGCATTCAGGAAGAGGCCCAGGTTTATGTTTCAAATCTGGCCTGCAGGGAGGGGAGTGGCTAGGCCTGCTCTCAGCACCCAGTGGATGGGCCCCTCTTACCCCATGGGCCTGGCCCCTGTCACTCAAGCCCAGGAATGAGCATCATCTGGGGAATATGGGTTGGGGTGACCTGGGAGCACCTTCTCCCAAGCCTGCAAATATAACTTCACAAAAGAACCACAATTCTGAGCCACAGTTCCCAGGGCCTGGGCTTTTCTGTATCCGATTGAATGCCTATTTTACTTTGGAAAAAAATCCAGTCACAAGTAGCATTAAAAGAAAACCAGCTTCCTTAAAAATGCTTTAACACTATTTTAAGTTCTGTATTATACCTGTCAGCGCCAGATGCCACCACCTCTGTGAAGCACCAGACAGGCCCGCTGCTGTGCACTGCTGCAGCTGACTGCCAGGACGGCTCACACTCTCCCCATCTGCATCAACTGTGACTTGATCTGTGTCGGTATGTGTGCCACGCTTTCCCCAACTAGACCGATGCCTCTTAAGGTCAGAACAGTGTCCCGGTTGTCACCACAGCAGTAATAATCATTTTCATTAACTATTTTTTGTTTATGAGACAAAGTCTTACTTGTCGCCCAGGCTGGAGTGCAGTGGCACGATCTCGGCTAACGGCAACCTCAGCCTCCCGGGTTCAAGCGATTCTCCTGCCTCAGCCTCCTGAATAGCTGGAAATACGGATGTGTACCACCACGTTCGGCTAATTTGTTTGTATTTTTAATAGAGACGGGGTTTCACCATGTTGGCCAGGCTGGTCTTGAACTCCTGACCTCAGGTGATCCACCTGCCTTGGCCTCCCAAAGTGCTGGGATTATAGGCGTGAGCCACTGCACCCGGCCCTCATTAACTTTTGAGTGCTCAGTATGTTCTACTTTGTCTTCAGAATTTCGTATACATTGTATTTAATCCTCCCAATGATCCTATTTAGTAGGTGCTTTTATTCTCCATGAACAGGTGAAGAAGCCAAAACATGCCCAAGGTGGTCAACCAGAAAGCAGCACTGATGCCATGGCCAGATGCCCTCCCCACCCCACCCTATGTGCAGAAGATGCTCAGTGAGGGCTGGATGAATGGACCGATTTTGTTAAATGAACCTGAGAAGCCACATGGTTTATTTCTAAGAGTCTTTTTAGTTTAACTGAATAATGGAATGGTGAACTTAAAAGATAAGCAGGTGTGCTGGTGCATGCTTATAATCCCAGCTGTTCCAGAGGCCGAGGCAAGAGAATCGCTTGAGCCCCGGAGTCTGAGGCTGCAGTGAGGTGTGAGTGTACCACTGCACTCCAGCCTGGGGAACAGAGCAAGGCCTTGTCTCTTAAAAGAAAAAAAAAAAAAAAAAAGAAAAGAGACTGTCTTAACTAAGTGTCTGTTAAATGTAGTTTAGCAAAATCTGAAAACCCAGGAGCTCAGCTCATCCTACCCAATGTCATTCACTGGAGATATTCAAAGAACCGAGGTGCTGTTGTGAGTTTTTATTGTTACAGTTTCTAACGTGGTCTTGAGGTTTCCCTGTCAAGAGTGGCCGTAAGCCGAGATAGCGCCTCTTTAGGGAAGCCCTGATGGAATGGTGTGTAGTTAGGTTTGGGTGTGTTGGTCAGCTAAGGCCCAATGAGGTGAAACCAAAATGCATCAAACAGAGGAAATGTCTTACTTACAGATTCCAGAGACGGTGGGGTGGGGGGGGGGGGCCTCCATGGGAGGTCTGGAGGCAGCGGCAGCAGAGCTCATCCAGGAGGTGGGGAGCGAGTGAGAGTGAGTGAGCCTGTGGGGCTATGCTTTTATCAGGATCCAGGGGCGTTACCCCTTAGGCTTTCCCATGGGGGTCGTGGATTTGTTAGTTTCAAGAAAACAGGTGCACAGGGGAAACTTACTGACACGACTCTGGTGTTAATCATCAGGTGTTACCACCGGCCCACAGGTGTGGGAAGTGTTGGGTTTTTGGTTGGTGGGATGAGGAAGGGGCCTGGGCTCTATTTTTCAAACAACACACAGGGAGGGAAAGTTTTAATGAGGCCAGAGAGGGCAGGGGTACAACAAGGTTTCAAAACACTTAGGTCGGGCCTAAGAATGGGTACCGAGGCAGGAGCTCTATTGCACTAATTTAGACAGGCACCTCCTGGGTCTGTGCTGTGATAGGAAGTCTTTGCAACACCTGACGCTGGTTTCTCCAATCATGGTAGTTACTACTCCAGTTTCCTGAAGAGGCAGGCAGCATGGGGCCGGATCTCAGGGCAGTGGATGGGACCATGCGGGGTTTTCCCTTACCTGGTGAACAGGTCCCATCCTTCATGACATTAACTGAAATTGCCATCACCTCTGTGACCTTGCCAGAGCTCCGGGAAGTCTGAAGTTAAACTGCAAAAGTGAGCCCACCATCTGCTGTTCTGCTGCTTATAATTTTCAGCTTGTCCATAAACACAAGCAAATAAATTGGCATGAATTAGCTATGAGATATATTTATATATAAACGACTATAATGTCATTAAGGTGATTATGGGACATGATTGAAATGTTGGATCCTAAATACTTTCCTAAGTGCCACCTGAAACACGGGACTGCCATTAACATAATGAGCAGAGATATGAATATTTCTGGCAAAGGCATCCTGAAGTAAGTAAGCCTGAAACTCAGTAACACTGAACAACCGAGTTCCAAGAATATTTGCTTTTTACGTCAAATCACCAAATGAAACATTCTGGAGGTGAAAAATCTAAGTAGTTTCCTGAGATTCTTCCTGTGGTTAATTCATAATCCTGGTATTGTTTTCACTAACTTTCTTCCCTTTTTTTTTTTTTTTTTTTTTGAGACAGTATCTTGCTCTGTCACCCAGACTGGAGTGCAGTGGTGTGATCATAGCTCACTGCAGCCTCCACCTCCCAGGCTCAAGCCATCCTCCTGCCTCAGCCTCCTGAGTAGCTGCAACTATAGGCAAACACCACCATGCCCACCTAACTTTAATTTTCTTTTTTTTTTTGGTAGAGATGGGGTCTCACTATGTTGCACAGGCTGGTCTGGAACTCCTGGCCTCAAGTGATCCTCCTGCCTCAGCCTCCCAAAATGCTGAGATTACAAGCATGAGCCACTGTGCCTGGCTTCTTCCCATTTTAAAAAATGAAAACACATGGTGTAATGTTAGCGTATTTCCCTCTAGGCCAACAATATTTTTTTAAGTTGAGGACTCAAAAGAAAAAAAGCCAAGTGATAAAGTCGTTTTATTTCCACTTTACTCCTGCTGGAAGTTTTTGCAAAAGAGAGAAAATAATAAGAGCCCCTCCAGGAACGGAGGGTGGAAACTCTGTGTCCAGGTTTGCTTTCTGTCATCCACACCTTGATAAGCCACAGAGAAGAGAGAGAGCCAACAGGTCACATCCAAGGCACCACACTTGCAATTAATTTATTAGGAACTCATCATTAGTCACCCCAGAGCTTTCAGAAAAGTAGTGTCCTCTTGAGTGGATGTGCTTATATCCCTCAAAGCCTCAAAGCAGAAAAACATTAAACTTGGTAACAGTTACATTTCGTTCTTTGACTAGGAAGTAGTTATAGTGACAAGGTACAAAAAATAATAAGCATGCAGCCCTTTATTTAGTTTTGCAAAGTCTCTGCTTATAGTTCTGTATATTACATGACTGTGTTATACAAATACATTTATTTACAAACACTCTAGCTGTGCAAACTTGTTGCTTTTTAAAAATGTATGGATACTTCCATTTCTGCCCATCCCGATATATACTTTTAAAGCATGCATAAAAATTAACTTTGGTGTGGGAAAACTACTCTATGTGCTGTCACATACAGTATTTTAATGTCTATGTATATTTATATATTTACAAAAGTTTTTCGGTTTACAGAACCGTACAGAGTGTACATTTTAAAATCCACAATGCAAGAGCGTGGGTTACCAGGTCTCAGAAAACAAAAGAAGGGGTTAGATACTCCAAAGAAAACAACTAGAGAACCTCAACATGTTAAAAAAGAAAAAAGAAAAAAAAAAAGGAAGGAAAAAAGAAAGAAAAGAAGCAAGCAAAGAAAACTAGCTTGCTTGGGCTAGCAAATTATGATACATACTTTTCATGGCAGTGCAATAGGTTTGATAAATTGCCTTCTACATATGCCTGTCTGTAGGGCTCAGGTAGAAGTTCATTGGTTTTATAGTCTAGCACACTACTTTCAAATGTACAATGCTATAGTATCAAAATGTTTTGGCAAAAAAGATCTTGAAAGGAATCATGAAGTTTTGACAAAAATAGAAATCTGTAATAAAGCTAAATAACACTAAAATAAAAGGAAATATTATAGTATCTTTTACAATTTGTATAGTCACACTTGTGTAATTCTCTGTTCACTTCTAGTCTCCGTAATGAAAAATAGTTTTATACAAAACATACTAAAATTCTGGAATCATACATGTTTTATATGCTTAAGACAATTCTCCCGTCTCACACGCACCTTTCTCTCCCACCAGAACCTCGTTTTGTGACACATGCTTACTGCATTTTATAGGTATTGAGTATAGACGGTAGACACTATAGCAACTAGGTAAAAACAAAACCAAAAAAAAAACCAAAAAAACAAAAAACGAGCTTTACTGAAATCTATTAATCCAGTATTTAGCACATACTTAGCATTAAGCCTCAAACGATACAGCAATATGTTACATTCTCTTGTGAAAACAGTTGTTGTAGACTGTTAATTTTTTTTTTTTAACATAACTCCAACTTGTGCCTGATAGGATTTGACCTTTAAGAGGTTTCTTTTGCTGTGGATGGAGTGGCTTTGCTTGAACTTCCGTTCTGTGCCTTGTAGCTGGTGAGGCTGGGAGTATGGATGGTCCTGGTGCCCTTGGCACCTTGATTCAGTGAGACGGAGGAGGCGGGGGAAGGAGGGGAGGAGGAGAATGACAAAGGAGGGGGTGCTCGGCCATTTTGACTCTGCGGTGAGAATGAAAGATGGTGACCTTTACCTGTATGAGTAAGGCTCTGAAACTTCAAAGAGCCATTAGAGACAGAAGGGATGAGGGAGGCAGAGTGAGCAGGTGGTCCTGTTTGGGGGCTGAGAGGGTTAGAAGCAATCGATGGTTTAGTAGCAGGTGGATTAGGGAGGTTAGAGCTGTCACCACTAGAAGAGGGCAGAGAACTGCTTTTCCCAGAGCTGGGAGAAAGGGCTGGAATCTTAGAAGCAGGTAAGGAGGGGGAAGTAGGCTTAAAGTCCCCACCAGATTTCTTAGCACTTCCATTAGCCTGCAAATAAAGATGGTGGGAGACATTTTGTCAGAAAGGTGGACACGTGATCAACCCACAGGGCCTGGCAACACAGCCCTTCTGAGAATAATTCAATCAAAGAAAACCAACCACACACAGTTCAAGGCCTGAGCTAAGTCTTGTTGTGCTTTACCGGACCTGGTAGAAATCCCCCACGTACATAGCAAAGGATGGACAGGAAAGGAGGAAAGGAAGAACGCATTTGTGAGAGGAGTCCCATCATTCCAGCTCTACCATTTCCCGTGTGCCAGGCGGGCCATGCGTCTGGATAATTACTGGGGTGGGGGTCGGGCATTTTGACGGAGCGTTAATGTGCTTCTAACGCAATACAGTCAACATAGACGTTAGTAGTGGTGACGTTAAGGGCAGTTCCACCACAGGTTGGTTTGTCTCTGCTTCCCGAGGTGTTCAGATGAAACACTACATTCACCAAAGAAAAGCCACCTGGTCTGGCACCGTGTGTTAACAGTTAAAATTTGGAGCTTGGAGTCACAAAGTAAAAGATGTTTTATTGTAAGCATGCAAAAGCGTGGTGAAAAAGTTTAACAAATGGTTTTTAGACTTTCTTCATGCCCCCAGATCCAGGATGTCTATGTAAACCGTTATCTTACAAAGAAAGCACAATATTTGGTATAAACTAAGTCAGTGACTTGCTTCTTAACTGAAATAGCGTCCATCCAAAATTGGGTTTAAGGTAAAACTACCTGACGATATTGGCGGGGATCCTGCAGTTTGGATTGCTTGCCAGGTTTGTCCAGGGTTCCGGGTCTGTTCTTGGCACTCATAGGGACAGGCATCCTGCTCGTCTGTGGGGCCCCGCTGGAGCCCTGTGGGAAGGACCAGTGAGAGGGGGAAGAGAAGGAGAAGCACGTGAGTAGGTCATCCGTGAGGCTGCTCCGCTATGTTCAGAGAAGCTCAAGGTGAGAAGCCACAGCCCTACATGCAGGACAGATCTAGGAGACACCAACTGGGGTTAATCAGAAGAATCAAACAGAATCAACTGCTCACTACTGATCAAACGGATTTTAATGTGAGTATCAGAGCAATGATTTCAACAGCACATGGCTGACCCGGCAGCCTCGTGTTTACCCAACACCAGTCAGCAACAGAGGCAAAAACAGAATTGATTAGCTGTTAGACACCTAGTTGTTGTTGTTTTGAAGGTGAGGTAGAAAGTATGAAAGAAGGGTTTCATGGCGAACAGACAAAAAAAAAAAAAAAAAAAAAGCCACCTGAAAGAAAGCAATTAAGTCACAAGACACCTTTTGCTAACGGTGATTATGGCAGATTTAGGAAAGCAGCCGGGTCTTTTCATTTTCCAGCAGACCAAGATACCTTACGTGAAGTTGAAGGTATCGACGTAGGGGGCTCTAGGGCAGTGGGGCCTTCATCCGGAACTAGCAAGGGTCGGGGAGAGGCCTCCTGGGCTATGTGGGATGAACTTGCAACAGAATCTCTGTTGGAAGAACCTGAGGTATCAACTAGGGCTTTGGGACTCATTTCACTGATTGTATTTTCAAGCTGTTTGATGGTCTGCTCCAGGCTATCCAACGTTCTGTAGGTGTTTTTTCTAATTTCATCAGTTCTTGAAATCGGAGACGTGCTCTCGATGCTGGACTGCTCTTCCCTCCTCAGCATGTTTTCAGGGGTGTCTTCAGGTTGAGACCTAGTGATTTCAAAGCGCTTGGCTTCTTTGTGTTGTTTCAGGGTGCCGTCCTCCTCCTCTTCTTCGTAGACTACCACTTGCAAAGTCTTCTTCCCTGTTTTAGTTCCCGTGCGAATGGCTTGAGTGAGAGCGGCGAGTTGCTTCTTAGGGAATTTGAATTTAAACTTTTTCTTGGGGCTTTCAAACTGGTCATCGGTCAGGTCGTCACCCTTGCATTCCGAATGTGGAGAATCCACATGGCTGAACTTGTCCAGCTCCATTCTGTTCATTTCCTGTCCCCCTGGGATTCTGGTCTCTGTTGCCAGAGAGTGTGGCTGTGACTTTGTTTCCACCTGTTGTCCTGTTCTAAGATTGCCCGGGGCCACCTTCTTATGAGACATCTGGGAAGTGGTATTATTCTGGACTACAGAATCTCCATTTTCCTCCTCTTCCTCCTCCTCTATCTTTTCTTCCATCATCATTCTCTCTAATTCCTCATCACACTCCTCAAAGATAGTTGAAAGTCTCTTATATGCAGACCGGATGTCCATGGGCTCGTCGAAAATGATGATCACTGGTTTCTTGTCCAGGCACACAACTGGCTCCTCACTGTCAGTCCCTTCTTGTCGGGGGGCCATCTCTTTTCTGGCATCGATATTAACCGTCTGTATGTCTTCTCCCTTTTGGCTAACAATATCATGCACCTCCCCACTGGAAAGAACCTGGACAGTGGTTTTGGTAATCATGAAGGCAATGTTGTCAGTGGTTGCATTTTCTTCAGTGGGAGAACTTGGACTGGATTCTCCGTCTTCATTAGGGTTCACGTTAGCATGCCTTGCCCCCTTGGGTCTTAGAACAACTTGGCCAAAATCTGTCATGATAACCTCTTGATCTTCTGTTTTCAAATCATGCACACTTGATTCTGTGACTCTACTAGGAGAGGAAATGTGACACTTATCCGTATGTTGCTTTTCCGTCTCCTTTGTCTTTCCATAATTCAGCTTCTGGTTCTCGGTGTCAGCTATAGAGTATTGGGGGCCTGAGACTTTAGACCCTTTGCTTATTTCATCTTCTAATGAACTAACGCCGGAGAAGCTGAAATTGACCTTAGGCACAGTTTTTTGGGAATAGTTTCTACTGTCTTTGAGTAAACTCATATTGGATATGGAATTTTCCTTCATTACGATCTCAGTTTTATATTCTGATGTTCTTGATGCATCAGAAATACTATTCTCCATTCCTCTTTCCCACTTAGGAGGGTCACTAGGTCTTAGAGCCCCTGTGGTAACCTGAGAGGGAGAACGGAGGAGGGAAACCACACACGTTAATCAGCAATGGATCCGCAGAGCCAGGCAATTAATGTGCATGGTATCTGTTGGAAAACAGATCTGGTGAACTCACCTTTCGGAATTCCATTTGGGGGCCATTTTCATATTCAACATCAGATTTCCGTACATCTTCATGGAAAAATTCCAAATTCTGGTAGAACAGTGTAGGACATGTTACTCCACAAAACCACATTGCCCCCAAAAGTGGACTATAACTAAACCGTTCCTTTAATTACATTTCTAAGACATGCGGGCCACGCATAATTGTTACACACCAATCCAAAGCCTAGAGCTGTTTACCTTGGATTGCTTTGTTCTCCAACTGCCAAAAATGCCCTGTGTTTGCACAAGATGAAAATCTCAATTAGCAAAAGATTTCAAGAATTTAAAATTTTGTGGGGGAGTAGTGAAGAGAATAAAGGGACAGAGTCATTACTAACATGTCCTCTTTTCAACATCAGATTGTGAGCCTAGCAGAATCGAAAACCTGAAGAATTGTGAAAAGCACAATGTGTGGGCTGACAGAAAGTTTTGATTCTAATCCAGATCTGCCACTAAACTGTGTTACTTTAGATAAATCACTTTACTTCTTTGGCCTCAGTTTTCTTGCCTATAAACTTAGGAGCCAGCCCAGGGGAGTTTTAGTTTCCCTTACAGCTTGTTATTTCAGTCCTCTCTCTGCTTCTATTATGGAGATTGTCCTATAAAGACATCTGCCTTGGTTGGGTTTGGCATTTTGGGATGAAAAAACATTATTTTCTGCTGATCAAATGACAAATGGAAATGCGGTTTATACTGTAGGTGTCAAAGTGTCAGAATCACCTTCACACGCCTCATAGCCAAGATGATCAAATCCAAATTCAGAGTGATCATGCTGGTACAATATAACCTCAATTCATAGCCATCATGCTGTCACAATATAACCTAAACATTCACAAAGCAGATATTTGAGGTTAAATTGGTGACGGTGACATCACGACTCAGCTTTCATTCTCTGTATTTCCCAGTGTAGAGTGAAGACACATGTCTTAGGGTCCCACCAAGATTCAGGATTGAAGGATCCAGTGGTGAGGACCCAGGTATTCAAAGCGCTTCACCTGGAGGCCTGGCCTTTCCCAGGGTGTATCAGTAGCCTCAGGCCCTGACATAACACTAACACTAGTGATGCCTTGTCGGTTCCAAGGCACTGCTGCCCTTTCTTCTTGCTGAGGTGGTTGATTACAGCAGGATGGAGCACAATTCCCATGAAGGCTACGGTTAAAGCAATGACAACACAAAGCACGAACACCCGGGCCCAGCCAAAGTCAACCCAGAGCAACCCTATGACCTTGGTTAAGAATGGAAAGACTGTTCATACACACCCAAGGAATGACACACAAACAACGCAGTCAGAATTAATCACACGGAAATATTACGCGAAGTACAGGGTACACGAGCCACCAAATACCTCCTGTTTTACTTCTGCTTGCTCCCCAGGAAGCCCCCAAATGAGTGCAGTGATTCGGCTGCTGCAGTGGAACCACAGGGCTTCTTTTGTGGGCTTTTAAATTTAAAATATGAAACAATGAATATGTCAAGTAAAAGGTTTTAAAGAAGAAAAATAATTGAGCTTCCTGTAATGCCAGCTACTCGGGAGGCTGAGGCGGGAGGATTGCTTGAGTCCAGGAGTTCGAGAACAGCCTGGGCAACACAGCAAAGACTCCATCACATACACACAAAAATAAAAAGTAAAAATAGGCTGTGTGCAGTGGCTCACGCCTGTAATCCCAGCACTTTGGGAGGCCAAGGTGGGTGGATCGCTTGAGGTCAGAAATTCGAGACCAACCTGGTCATCATGGTGAAACTGCATCGCTACTGAAAATACAAAAATTAGCTGGGCATGGTGGCGGGCACCTGTAATATCAGCTACTTGGGAGGCTGAGGCAGGAGAATCGCTTGAACCTGGGAGGCAGAAGTTGCAATGAGCTGAGATCATGCCACTGCCCTCCAGCCTTCAGGGCGACAGAGCAAGTCTCCATCTCAAAAAATATATACGTGTAAATAAAAAAAAAAAAAATAAGGTTTCAGCCTAAGGTTACAACTCCAGATATGGAGTCAGCGTATCATGCCAGGACCCGAATGAGAACTTGACCCTGAATCGCAGATGGAGTTGGAATGTGATCTAAAGACACATACGTGGCAGATGTTCTTGGGGTCTATTTACTGGGGGTTAGTGCTGGCATCTGTTCTGGTTGGTCATGGCCCGTGCCATTCCCATCATTAAACATTTCAGGCCAGGTGTGGTGGCTCACGCCTGTAATCTCAGCACTTTGGGAGGTGGAGGTGGGTGGATCATGAGGTCAGGAGTTTGAGATCAGCCTGATCAACATGGTGAAACCCTGTCTCTACTAAAAATACAAAAATTAGCCAGGCATGGTGGCACACGCCCCTGTAATTCCAGCTACTCAGGAGGCTAAGGCAGGAGAATCGCTTGAACTCGGGAGGCGGAGGTTGCAGTGAGCTGAGATTGCACCATTGCGCTCCAGCCTGGGTGACAGAGCGAGACTCGGTCTCAAAAATAAATAAATAAATTTCAACCACACCCCCCCCCATAATATATATATTTTAAAATTGAGTAGTAGCACAAATGCTCCAATGGAAAGTCACTAGGATAGAAATGTGAAGTTTGGTTTTCACACGACCTATATTTTTTATCACTGGGCCACAAAAAAATGAATTAATGTATCAAAGCAAGTGCATGAGCTTGGTCGTAATTGTCACGTAAACTCACGATGATTTCTTAGTCTTAGTCAAGACTCTGCGTGAAAGGTAATTATGCCTCTTTAATATGTATTTATAGGCCCTGAGATTTGAATTATGAAGACAATTGGAAAAGCATTCAATAGGCATATGGACAATAAACCAAAATGAGAGACAGGGTTACAGGAAAATTGCATACAAGTGAAGAACTAGGCTGGAGTTTCAGTGATGACAGGATAAAAAAAAGCTTAAGAAAACATCTGATTTATGGAAGGATAAACACTCAGCCCTGGAAGAGGTTAATAAGGACTCAAAATTGGGGATAAGAGAAGTCTGATACTCATGGTCATTCTGAAGTAGGTTAATCTACTAAGATTAATTATCCAGAGTAAGCACCCTGGATAATTCCTGGCCTCAAGTGATTCTCCCGTCTTGGTCTCCCAAAGTGCTGGGATTACAGGTGTGAGCCACCAGGCCAGGCTAGGTTTTCTTCATGAGAAACATTTATCAACAGTAACCCCCCTTGGTATATAGTGAGATTCTCTTCCCCCTATTAACAGTGTCACATGTCAGTTTATGTGGCAGAGAGTTTACACAAGGGCGCCATTGTGGCTATGAGGCAAGGAGAAGTGAGTTGGCCTCCTTGGCAAGGTGGGCTGGGAGCTGGGAGCCCAAAACTGTGTCTCTTGAACTGTTGTGTTAGAATAGCCTTTCAGTTTTGTGATACAACATCTACCTCCTTGAGCTGTCATACATGGACCGAGGTACCTATCTGTAGTAGCTATCGGGCTATCTTGCATCTGATTAGTTTGACTTTGTTTAAGGAAAGCTAGAATCTATGAATTCTGAAAGATAAGTCCCTGGAGAAAAATGTTAGGCCTTGAATTGGTCATTGCAAGCTTTTTATCCTGAAGTTTAGATGCAGGCTTAATTCAAGTAAGATGTCTCTATATCTAAAAATCATAGATGCTCTAGGTGCAACTTAAAGTTGCATTTCAAACATTCAGGCCATGGTCGTTTCCCTAGATTACTTATACAATGACAGCAGACTTTGTTTCAGAGCCTGGATTCTTTTTTTTGGCGTCACACATATATTTTAACACTAAAACTATACTGAACTTACTATCTTGGAAGGTATACTTTATAAATGGATAATACTTAGCAAAAATTCTGTTTGGCATCCTTGGACGTTTGTGCAAATACACATTTGTATGTTTCCATGAAGTTACACCTGTGTGTGGTGGTAGATGCTTTCTACCATGCATTTTCTTCCCCAAATCAAAGGTTTTTACTTTTTTTTTTTTTTGAGATAGAGTTTTGCTCTTGTTGCCAAGGCTAGAGTGCAGTGGTGTGATCTCAGCTCACTACAACCTCCGCCTCCAGGGTTCAAGCGATTCTCCTGCCTCAGCCTCCCGAGTAGCTGAGTGTAGAGGTGACCACCTCTACACTCAGCTAATTTTTTGTATTTTAAGTAGAGATGGGGTTTCACCATGTTGGCCAGGTTGGTCTCGAACTCCTGACCTCAGGTGATCCACCCGCCTCGGCCTCCCAAAGTGCTGGGATTACAGGTGTGAGCCACTGCACCCGGCTGGTTTTTACCTAATTTTTTTTTTAAACATAGATAGTTGTTTTTCTTTTTTGCCCAAAGGATGTTACAAATTAGAAAAACTACTAAATACTTGGTTGCTGTCTCTATATATTTCTTTCTAGAGTTGTTCTAGAAAGTACTGACAGGTGTATACTCTTTAGTTTGGGAAGATAGTGTCTAAATTCTGCATAGACTATTGTGTGCTGTGGGCTGGAACACAGTGTTTGCTCTGAAAACCTGAGCAAGATATCTCTGATTTTAACCTATACCTGTGTCTCCATTAGTTTAAAAAAAAAAAAAAAAAAGAGAGAGAAAAAAGACAGAGGGAACAAAGGTCGAGTACAAGAGCCATGTTAGTGTCAGAGCAAGGAAGGAAGGACTCCCAACCGTGTGGCAAATGTGCAGTTGCCACGTTACCTTCTTCTCCTTGGGTGGCACCGTGGCGCCCGACCTAGTGTCTTTAACGTGACTGTCAGCCCGGGATGGCTCGGCATGACTGTTTGAATTTACGTCCATAAAGGAACACTTCTGGAATGCCTAAGGAATTAAAATACTGAGGTTAACAGGGATCCAAGGGTACTGAGGAGAACGGACGGAAACAGGCAGGAACAACCGGACGCTTGGGGACCCCAGCCCAGCTCCTGCAGGCAGGTTTAGGCCAGGGAGGCAGCACCCTGAAATCCTGCTCCCCACGTTCTCTCATGTTGACAAAGCTGGCTTGGAGGCTGAGCCTGGGGCAAAGGCTGCCTTCCTTTCTTGGGGAATGCCAAGATAAAATAGACACTACTCCCTTTTCTGCCTATCTGGGGTGAACCTAAATTGGTACTTAAGAGGGCTTCTTGCTTTCACCTTTAAAAAATGCTCAATATGTAAATACATTAAAACAAAAAACTATCTTTCTTTTTTCTTCCTCCTCGTTTTTTTATGAGCTTTATTGAAATTATACAGCAAAAGCTCAGAAGACATTTTAAACCTTGAAGTCTTAGAATAAAAGTACTCTAAGCAATCCTTCTCTGAAATACGTACTACCGCGCTCCAGGGCGTTCTGAGGCTCATTGAAAATAAAGTGATGCTTTTAAGCAATGATGTCATTCCGAGTGGCCTAGGAGCTGCCTGCACCCTGGAGATTTGTGTCTGAAAACTGTAAGAGCCAACAGTTGGCTCTTGTGAATTTAAGTCAGGGAGGCCAGTTCTCAGACAAAGGGAGAAAGTACAGACATAGATGGTGTCTACAGGGCTAAAAACGAAGCCGACATGTGGGCAATGTCCTGATCATGAGAGGAGAGACTGGTAACTCAGGGACCCAAACTTATGGACATCAGTGGTTCTCAACCAGGCTATATACCACCCAGGTTAAAAAAAAAAATACTGTTGTTCTCAAATACTCTTGAGACCCCACTCAGAGAACACACAAATCAGAATCTCTGAGCTGTAGGAATTTTTTTTTTAAACTCCCAAAATAATTCTAATGTGCAGCTAGGATTAAAAACTATTTTTATTTATTTGTTTGTTTATTTATTTGAGGCAGAGTCTCGCCCCGTCGCCCAGGCTGGAGTGCAGTGGTGAGATCTCAGCTCACTGCAACCTCTGCTTCCTGGGTTCAAGCAATTCTCCTGCCTCAGCCTCCCAGGTAGCTGGGATGACAGGCACCCGCCACCATGCCTGGCTGATTTTTTGTAGTTTTTTTAGTAGAGACGGGGTTTCACCATGTTGGCCAGGCTGGTCTCAAACTGCTGACCTCAAGCGATCTGCCCATCTCAGCCTCCCAAAATGCTGGGATTGCAAGTGTGAGCCACTGTGCCTGGCGAAAGACCACGTATTTAAATGAATCAGCCTAAATAATTGCCTAGTGTTTTCTTTATGTCAAATGTTGTCATTTGGAGATATCTCTGCCGGCAGAAAGAATAATACACGTCCTCCTTCAGTAAACATTCCATCACTGGTCCTAAAATCTGAAGGTGGCTGATGAGGGACTTTCTCTGGCCTTTTTTTCCAGACTGTTTGCTCCCCTGCCTCTGCTGCACCTGGCCTCCTTGCTGTTCCTTAGTCACACCAGTCCTAGCATGCCCTGGATGTGTTTGGTTTATCCGCTTACTTAGAGTGCTGCTTACAAATGCCAACTGCCATCTCCTTTGAGCTATTAGGCCCTCGATTTCAGAGCCTGTTTTTCTTCTGATGCCTGGAGATGTGGAGCACAGAAAGTGGTTGCACAATTGTCCTTAGAAGGGGCCACAGCTGCTCCTTGTCCTGCCTTGAGAAGGTGCAGAAATAAGAGAAGCATTATGGCCACAGGCCATTGACCGAGTTGCTGATTTAGCAGGCTGGGTTTCTATCCCAGCCAGAGGGCTAACAGGGTTTGGTTGAGTTAAGGTTAGAGTACTTCATTCACCACTTTTTTTTTTTTTTTGAGACAGAGTTTCACTCTTGTCACCCAGGCTGGAGTGCAGTGGTATGATCTTGGCTCACTGCAACCTCCACCTCCCGGATTCAAGTGATTCTCCTGTCTCAGCCTCCTGAGTAGCTGGGATTACAGGCACCTGCCACCATGCCCAGCTAATTTTTGTATTTTTTAGTAGAAATGGGGTTTCGTCATGTTGGCCAGGTTGGTTTCGAACTCCTGACCTCAGGTGATCTGCCCACCTCGGCCTCCCAAAGTGCTGGGACTACAGGTGTGAGCCACCACGCCTGGCCACCACTCTTATTATCTAACCACCAAGAATATGGCATGAAGCCAGATATGCCAATGTCTGTAAAGTAGTCAAAAAGGGCATCAAATATTTAGACTTCAATGGAGAAAAGTGTCCCTCAGTGGCGGGCTATAAGTGGCTGCAACAAATTTAGTATTTCTCTTACAGAGGTGTAAAAAATTATCCACAACCCTGAAAGATACCAGCTTTATAAATCTGTGGTTCCTATGAAAACAATTATCCAAGCCTTCTAAAAACCTGCAAATAGCCTGATTGGTTGTGGGGATGTCCCACGCTAGTCTGTGAGTTTTAGTGAAGCGTGAAAGGGCTCACGAATGTGACAATTCAACCAGCAGTTCTGTTTTCCCTGCAAAATCCAGGCAGCTCAATTTTGGCAGTTATTACCATGGAAACCAGAGTAGAACAAGTGCAGTGAAAATAATGTGGATTGAAAGTTCTTCCTACTCCAAAGAAAAAATGAAAATTTATGGGTTGGCACAAAGCCATTGGTACACTGGTAAGAAGCTAACATGGTTTTGAGCCTCAAGGTGCTGGTGTTCCAACTATCTGATTGACAGAAAAATCCTATAAGAAGCATGAGGCAAATGAAATATTCTACACAAAGTTTGTTCTAGGAATTGTGTACATGTCTCTGATGAGACAAGTTCTCAGGATATAGACCTGAGGTAGAATCACGTCCATGATGGGAATGTGGGATCAGTTTTGGGCACAGCCTTGGCACCCCATCCTTCATCCTATGAGTGGACTATGTCATAGTTAAAAAATAAATATCTAAAACTAATACAGTATCATTTCTCAAATAGACCAAGGAAAATGGAAAACAAAATAATTCAGCTTTTCATAATATCTGAAAAGATGACATTGATATTGAACAGGGACTTGGTATGGACCACAGGAAGCCAGTCATTGGCCTTGAGTCCACAATCCAAGGTCAGTGGTTCTAAGTGGTAAAGCCAAGGAACAGGAACCCACCTAACGTGTGCTTCAGTCTGTCCTTATCAAGACAGGACAATGGCTGGTATTTCTAATCCTTATCTTACTTGCTTTTGAAATGAAGCAGAGTCTCTTAAGATAGAAGGAAAGGAGAGTCAATCCTACCAGCCAGAGTTAGGAAAGCCTGAGTTGTTTTGTGAAACGGTCATTCCTTGCACATCACATAGGCACCCTGAGAGCCTTGTTCAGCACCGTCTTGGGAAAGCAAAGGCCAAGGCCAGAAGACACAGCTTCTATGGTCCCGGTCCAAGCGCTTTCCTGGCCCTCTCGCTAACGAATCTGTAAGTACCATGGCTGGAGAGACCCAGGCAGGAGGCAAGGAGCCAATGTCATTCACCGCACCCACATACCTGGAGTTCTGCCATTATTTTTTCTCCTTCTTCTTCTTCTTCTTCCTCCTCATCCTTTGAGGAGGAGGTAGTGACAGGGGGTGGGGATGGGGTCCAGGCTGAAGCGGGCTCCTCTGCTGGACATTTTGTGGCTCTGGTCTGTGGACTCGGTCCAGCATCTTCACTGCTTGCCTGTGGGAGATTGAAACCATGGATAGTGGCTTAACATCTCCTAAGTGCTAGCGAAAAAGGGACAGATGGTCCCTCACTGCCTATAACACTGGCTTCCTAGATCTTAGCTGAGAAAATAGCTGAAAGGTTATTTTATCCCTTTGCATTTAGTTTGGGTTTGTGTTTGCATAAGTTGTCATTTTGATGAATGGATTAAATAATGATAATATAATTAGAACTCCTCAATATTCAGTGTCTTTGATATGGTTTGGCTGTGACCCCACCCAAATCTCATCTTGAATCATAGCTCCCATAATTCCCATGTACCACTGGAGGGATCAGGTGGGAGGTAATTGAATCACGGGGGCAGGTCTTTCCCGTGCTGTTCTCGTGGTGGTGAGTGAGTCTCAACGAGATCTGATGGTTTTATAAATGGGAGTTCCCCTGCACAATCTCTTTCTTGCCTGCCGCCATGTAAGAAGTCCCTTTGCTCTTCCTTCACCTTCTGCCATAATCCTGAGGCCTCCCCAGCCACATGGAACTGTGAGTCTATTAAACCTCTTTCCTTTGTAAATTACCCAGCCTCAGGCATGTGTTTTTCAGCACCCTGAGAACAGACTAATACAGTCCTCATGAAAGGACCCCCCATACTCCATCTCTTTGGAAATTGTGTTTTACATTTAACATAAAAGCTAACACTTTGCTAGTTAAGTGGAATCTAAAGCTCATTGAACATCTTTCTGTATAGACTCCCACAACAGTGTCAGCTCACCTCAGTTACCTTTGGAAGATAATCTTTGTTTCCCCCTCCTACCCTCATTTTCAATTTTATGATGCCCACATACGAAATAGCTTGTGAGTTGCGTTTCATATTGTTGCAGCTAAAAGTCAAATAAGGATGAAACTCATGGTCTGGGTCTAGTCCAATCATACTGGCTGCCACTGTCCCACCTGTGGTGCTTCCTGGGGATCTTGTGTGGTCGAGTCACTAATTCTCTGCCTCACTACTTTTTATGTTCTAACAGACAGAACCTTGTCTAAGGGTATCATCTGAACCCCGAGGCCAGTTTACCAGGGCTTAGCCTATCAGACCTTAGCGGTGATGTTCTCCTTTCTGCCGGTGTAGACCACATCGCCTGACCTCGTGGTGGTGAGTCCCGATCCTGGCAGGTAGCTTCGACGAGGAGGTGGGGGAGGAGGAGGGGGCGACTTTCCCCCCAGCTTTTCCAAGTCCTGTTCTGAATTTGGAGAATCTTCTGGAAAACAGTGCACCATTGCAAGAATAATCTTTTTGCAAGAAAACATCCAGAAAGTCTGGTATATTGCTACAAACTCAATGCAATCTGATTTAAAAATCGTCTGTTCTCTCTATAGAGCAAGGATTAAGTGTATAGACCCTAAAGAGCAACTGGATTTAAATCCCAAAAAGACCCTGCACAAGTTACTAAACCTCTCTCAGTCTCAGTTTTCTCATCTGTTAAATGGGTATTATAATAAACTTTCCTTTGGGGTGTCATTAGGATTGAATGACTTACATACTGAGCTCGGCTTAATGTAAATGCTATGTAAAGTACTACATATTATTAATATTATTAAATAATATTCTTGTTATGTAAAAAAGCTGAGTAGTACTTGGATAGATTAAAAAAAAATTGGAGCCCAAAGGCAAATCCATAGCCCCCTGCTTGGCCTCCAAAGTCTTCATCCCTCAGTCTGAAAAAATAGCATCAGCAAGAGGGTTTTCTGCTGAAGGTCAATGTCACAGTAGAATCTGGCCTAGGGAGGGCCAGAGAAAAAATGGGATGCAAATGAGAACAAAGTTGGAGAGGAAGTAGATTTGATTTTTTTAAACACAATTTTTTAAATTTTTTTATGTTTTAGATAAGGTCTCACTGTCACCCACTCTGGAATGCAGTGGTGTGATCAAGGCTCACTGAGGCCTTGACCTTCTGGGCTCAGGTGATCCTCCCACCTCAGCCTCCCTAGTAGCTGGCATTACAGGTGTGCACCACAACACCTGGCTAATTTTCTTTATTTTTTTCTTTATTTATTTTTTTGTAGAGGTAGGGTTTTGCATGTTGCACAGGCTAGTCTTGAGCTCCTGGGATTAAGCAATCTGTGTGCCTCAGCCTCCCAAAGTGCTGGGATTACAGGTGTGAGCCACTGCACCCAGCCTTTTTGGTTTTATTTTTGAGACGGGGTATTGTTCTTTCACTTAGGCAGAAGTGTAGTGGTGCCATCACGGCTCACCTCAGCCTCAAACTCCTGGGCTCCAGCAATCTTCCTGCGTCAGCCCAGAGTAGCTGGAACTGCAGGTGTGCGCCACCACGCCCAGCTGCTTTTTAAATTTTTGTAGAGATAGGGTCTCACTATGTTGCCCAGGCTGCTCTTAAAGTCCTGACTTCAAGTGATTCCTCCCGCGTTGGCCTCCAAAAGCACTGGGATTACAGACATGAGCCACCATGCCGGCCTTTATCAATTTTCGATCATTATCCATATTCCTCCATTATCCAAATAGTCAGAAAATTCTCACAAGGGGAAATACAAATGGTATTTAAAACTCTACACTTAGAAGTTTGCCTCATTAATAAATAAAAATACATTAAAAATGATAATTCCATGACAAATAAATTAAAATGGCAGAAACTAATGTTTACAGGTCACGGATGCTACCTTCACACATTTCTGGTAGCCTGTCCATCACTGGACTGTTTCTGAGACCAAGTCAGAGATGCATTGAAAAAGAAAAAACAAGAACATTTGAACTAAGTCAAAATACCTTGGGGAGTAATTTTAAAAGTGATTTATGCAAATTTAAAAAATTGGATAGAATCAAGAGCCAAAATGAGGTAAGTGAACAAAATGTAATATGTTTTTGTTGTTCAGTCATGAGAAGGAACAGTTATGAGACCTGTATGAAACATCAGAGGATTCTATGACAAAATTAATAATGCAGCAGAGAGAGCAGAATTAGGCAAGATAAAAACGTGATGAGCTGGCCGGTGGCTCAGGCCTGTAATCCCAGCACTTTGGGAGACCGAGGTGGGTGGATCACCTGAGGTCAGGAGTTCGAGACCAGCCTGGCCAACATGGTGAAACCCCGTCTCTACTAAAAATACAAAAATTAGCTAGGTGTGGTGGTGGGTGCCTGTCATGCTAGCTATTTGGGAGGCTGAGGGAGGAGAATTGCTTGAACCCAGAAGGCAGAGGTTGCAGGGAGCCAAGATCATGCCACTGAACTCCAGCCTGGGTGACAGAGCGAGACTCAGTCTCAAAAGAAAAAGGAAAAAAAAAAGTGTGATGACCTAGGGCATTTTCTCCATCAGAAATTCTCCATGGGAACTGTGGGAGGAAAGTCACCTTTGTGTGAGAAGAGCTGCCCCGCCCAGGACCCTAGACAGACCTGACACAACTGGCAGGTGGGGAAAGGCATAAGAAAAGCCTCTTAGCACAGACGGAGGGGGAGGGCTGCAGTGAGTGGAGCTTTAGGGGATGAACTGGATGAAAACTGGGGAGGAGACAGGTGCAGGTGGTCCTTTGCATCCATGGGTTCCACATCTGTGGATTCAACCAGCTGCAGATGGAAAATATGTATTAAAAAAATTCCCTCCACATCCCAAAAAATAAAACTTGAATTTGCCTTGCGCCAAGTACTATGTTGAATCCACACAAATGAAGTAACGTGTAGACATTGTATTGGGTATCATAAGTAATGTAGGGATGATTGAAAGTACGTGGAGGCAGGCAGTGGAGTCACACAGCTGAGGTGTGCTGGCCCCACAAAGTATATGGGAGGATGTGAGTAGGTTACATGCAAATACCATGCCATTTTATACCAGGAACTGGAACATCCTCAGATTCTGGTATCCGATGGGAGTCCTGGAACCAATCTCCCGTGGATACCAAGGGATGACTCTATAGTGGTTATAAATGGAATCCACTTTAATGTTTCTTGACATGCAAGTCAAGATGGGGATTCCTTTCCAAATTAATTTTAGTTGCTGGATAAGGCACTGTGGAATGTGACACTGAGGAGACATTAGGCTGCAAGTAAAATAACATCTGGGTCCATAATTTTAAGATCAGAATAAGACGCATGGTTTGTAAATGACGGAATATTTAATAGGTTGAGATTCCTAGAAGTTATATTATTATTGACAGGTTGGCATTTAACTTCCATAGTTGAGTTGGTTAAATATATATTCTAATAATTTTGATTAAAAAATGCAATTTTGCCTTATGATCTAATATTCCCTGGTAGCTCATAAAAGTTACCATTTTCTTTCTGTAAGCATACAAAAAGCTCTGGTCTTAAATACAGGCCTAATATTTTCCCAGCTCGTGCGGTGCAATATCACAAATGCATAGAAAACGCAAATACTAGGAATTTAAATTTTCCTTTATTGGCCATTATTCTAGAATCCTAACACAGAACTCAGCTTCTCTATGGCTAGGGTAAAACAGTAGTAGTGAAATCAAGTGTGGCTCAAGCCTGTAATTCTAGCTACTCTGGAAGCTGAGGCAGGAGGATCGCTTGGGGCCAGAAGTTCGAGACCAGCCAAGGCAACACAGTGAGAAACCTGTCTCTCAAAAAATAAAAAAAAAATTAGACACATGCAGTGGTGTGCACATCTATAGCCCTAGCTACTTCTGGGGAGGCTGAGGTGGGAGGATTGCTTGAGCCCAGTAGTTGGACGTTATAGTGAGCTATGATCATACCACTACACTCCAGCCTGGGTGGCAGAGCAAGACCCCATTTCAAAAAAAAAAAAAAAAGAAAGAAAGGAAAAAAAGAGATACTATTAAAGATCTAAGGAACACCAGAGGATTTGCTCTTCCAGGTTTTACATTTTATAAGATTTGTAAGAACTGAGACATTGGTTCTGTTGATGAGTATGTCCTGTTGTGGATGGCACCATATTTACCCAAGGCCATGTACCTCCATATGTTCCTGCTGTGGGACCGGACCTTACCTGAAAGTTCCAGCTTGTCCACTGGGGCATCTCCCCTTGGCAGTGGGCCTGCAGCTGGCGGCATCTCCAGATTTGGTATTGACTTCATGATATTGGCTTGAGCTTCTTCTAGGAGCTTCTCAAACTCTTTCCCGTTATAGTGGTCCAGATTTTGCCTTTTTTCCTCCCATTTCTTTTCTGCTTTCTGGAGGAATATAGCAGGTAAAGAAAGTTACATGGACACATAGAGGAGAACAACACACACTGGGGCCTTTCAGAGGGTGGAGGGTGGGAGGAGGGAGAGGATCAGGAAAAATAACTAATGGGTACTGGGCTTAAGACCTGGGTGATGAAATAATCTGCACAACAAACCCGCATGACATGTTTACTTATGTAACAAACCTGCACTTCTACCCCTGAACTTAAAATAACATGCTTTTAAAAGTATTTTTTCTACTACCAAGATTTATTTTTTTAGAGGCAGGGTCTCAATCTGTCATCCAAGCTGCGGTGCAGTGGCGTCATTATAGCTCACTGCAGCCTCCAACATCCGGGCTTAAGCAATCCTCCTGCCTCAGCCTCCTGAGTAACTAGGATTACACATGTGAGCCACCACACCTGGCTAATTTTTTTTCTTTTTTTAAAAATAGTGATGGGGTCTGTTATGTTGCCCAGGCTGGTCTTAAACAATTTGCCTCAAGGAATCCTTCTGCTTTGAGTGAGACATGAGTCTATAATCAAAAGTGCTGGGATTACAGGCATGAGCCGCCATGCCCAGCCTAAAATTTTTTTTAAATTGAGTTTTCATTATAGAAGAGATGTCCAAGCAAACAATCAAAACCCACAACACTAAGAACAAAAATCCTGTGTCTTAGAACCACTTCTATCAAGGAATTGCTATATGCCCTCTGGGTCGTGTTGTCTTATAAAATGAGGGAGGAGGTATTATTTAGATGACCCATAAGCTCCTTTAAGTTCTACAACAGAGAGTTATACATAAAATGTGTTTTAAAACATCTGTACACTTTTTAAAAGAACATTTTCCTGCGATTTTTGAACTAGCACATTAATAATTCCAAGAGGGCCAGGTGGAAATTCACACCAAGATTAGTGGAACCCCATAACCTAAGAATTGGCAAAGATCATTGAATCAACATATGGGAACTTTGAGGTCCAGTGAGATGAAGAATTTGCCCAAGTTTCATTACATATAAATAATAACCACCACCTCCACCATTCTAACCCTCTTTTATTTTTCCTTCCTAGCATTGATTACCACCTGGCATATACGTTTTTTCTGTCTCCTGCTACAAGTAGGTAAGTTTCTTGAGGGCAGAGACTTTGTCTCTTCTGTTCACTGGCTTTCCCCCGAGCCTACGAGGGCCTGGCACATAGCGGGCTCGGTAATCTCTGTTGAATGAATAATGCTCACCCCATTTGTCAGTGGCAGATCTGGCAGAAAAACCCAGGCCTCCATACCTGTGGATCAGGGCATTTTCAGAGATGACTCATATCTCCCGTCAAAGTGTAAAACACACACATCACAATGATCACTATGCCCACTGGGTCCTCAATAGAGATTTGTTAAATAAGAGTGCCATCATACTGACATCCTTTAAATGTTGAGATGTTTAAAGTGGCAAGACATCTTAAGTGACGGGTCTGCCAATGTCTCTTCCTCCCCTGCCCTACTAGGTACTGGGAATAGAATCACACTCCGTCAATCACATTTCCGTACCCTTGTGATATGCATTTTTTAAATAGCTGGCTCTGATTAGGGGCAAGCCAGGGCCCTTGGGACAGACAGAAACCACCTAGTGTTCAGAGGCCCGGAGGCTGTGACTGCGGCTGTGGCAGTTTTGCCAGGTCGTCTTGATATACCCAACCTGAGCTCTCCACTGGTGATTTTCAGTAGAGGCAGGAGGGTTAGGACAAGGTTGCTGGGGATAAAGCAAATGAGTGGAGGAAAAGTTATATTACAGCATAGCCACCAACATGGCCTCATGTCATTTGATCTTAAGACCTGTTTTCTTTTTCATTTCTGACTGCTCTACCGTTCATTCTTTAGATGGATTACAGGTAACTCTCATCCAGCTCTCTTAATTCTAACCCACCACCTCAATCTCAATTCTGTATGTTGTTTCTAGATTAATTTCCAGAAGATGCCATTTAAAAAAAATCATGGATTCAAGCTGCCAGCATTTCTCTGACACCTTCCAAATAAACTCCCAAACATCATGGACTGGTTTTCAAGCTCTCAAAGTCAGTTTCCAGCCCATTTCCCCAGTCTTTAGTCCTCGTTCTTGTTCCACTTAGACAGGCTTAGTCCATGGTCCCAGACTTTGACCAGCATGTTAGTATCCTCGAATGTCTCACACCTCCTCCCTGCTAACCAGGTTCCACTTATCGTCTACCATGAGTTGCAGACCCTCCTGTCAGGCTTGCCCTTCACCGCAATGGAGTGTTGAAGCGTGTCCTGGACCGATAGCTGGATTGTCAGCATCTCTTCCCAACTTCACGCAGCGCAGTGGGTGTCATTCGTAACTTGAAATCCAGCCATGGTTGCGATGTATTGTACACCATGGAAATGTGGCAAATGCCACGCACAGCAGAGTAGCCCCCCCCGC